ACGTCATACTTTCCCCGATAACAATCGAGTTACGCCGATCATCTATCTAACTCTGTGGACTTCCGGTCCAAACAGGAAGTTCATATATAGTTAATTGGTGTCTCCGGTCACTACTATTTCCACATCTACTCACGAATTTCATTTAACTCACTCCGCTCTCGAGATTAACGAAGACCAGACAGACAAACAGACATTGAGAATGTATATAGGTCTGCAATTGGAAAATTGCAGCCCAATTAGAACAAATTTAAAAGGAGAATTAAGAACTAAAATAAACAACAAGGAACTAAAAAGAACTAGACGAATAATTTGACTCGCAAGTTAAAAAACGGTTTCTAATTAGAGAAAACGGGAAAAATATTGTAAATAAAGCGAATTGAAAGTTGGAACATGAAATAAATTTTTTAAAAAAGACAGAGAATCATTAACTAAACTCAAAAGTTGGAAAATATAATACAGGAAGAAATTTAATTCGGATCGTCAATTTAAAAACGGTACGCACTAATTAAACAAAAGCTGACAAATTATACATCCGATGACTTTAATCAAAAAATTTCTTCTTTTATAATTTACAAGAAACGAAATAAGATGATTAAACTCATTTCTAATTCTTTAAACAAACGGACATACAGACAGATAAGAGAAATTTCTTACATTCTGTCTGACGTGATCGTACATTTAATAATTCTAAAAGAACTATAAGCTTATCTTTAGTCGAACTGTACATATCATTAAAATGGAAACCATGTAAAAGTTGAGTTATTTTATGCTAATTACCGTGTGAAGTCACACGACGAAGTGGGTTTTATAATAGCCTACATTTTCCGCAGGGTCCTAGAAAATAAATATAAAAACTTGGTGCAGATCGGTGAAAGGAATTTTAACTGTATAGAACAGATGCATAGACAGACAAACATTCTATTACATGTATATGTATAAATAGAATGTTTGTATGTCTGTGCATTTGTTCTATAGGCTTTGTAGGCGGAAGGTAGAGCAAGACTGGGTAGTTCTTTCATATTTTTTTTAATTAACTACTTAAACCGGAGTCATTAAATGCTCAAAGATGTTTATTTCAACTGCAATCAACAGAAAATCTTTTTTTTTCTTTTTCGCATGTTTATGAAATGATATCAAATACCCAATCTACGATACAATATAGGGTAAGACGTGATATGTTTTAAGGTATATGGAATGGTTCAAATGTAATTAACTTTCATAACTGTAAAGATTAAACAACATCAAACTGGCAATGAAATAATAATTAGGGTTTATTAGCGAAATTTCTACAGTACAACAATTTATTTATCTTGAAGATATAATGCTCAAGTATGGTTATCATCGTCATCTTCTTCTTCATCAGCATATGTGCCCATTGGTAACATATTACACATCGTATCCAACCTTTCTTTCAAATAGAAAAATATCTACTATAAAGGCATTAGGTGTCGAGAGAAACATGAAATAACTCCGTTTTACCTCACGCAACGCTTCCTCATCTTGCTTCAAGATACCATTTTGAAGTCCCGCTTGAACTCCTTGATAATCAGTAGTATTTATAAAATACTTTCTACAGTTACCTGAAGCTATAAGAGTTCTCTACTGATAGAAGGAATTAGAAAAATTAATAAACCTCGCATTACTTACATAAGGATGTTTTTATAAACGTAACATATTACATCAACAGGTAATTTTTGACTGTCGATCGCATTTGCCTCCATAGACGAAAAACACTGAGCAATTACAGCAATTTACGTTCTCTACTTCTGGTGTGTAGACTTAGTTGCAATATTTATTACTAAGTTACAGTATTTACTAAATGAAATGCAAGCTTCCACTCGCATCACTATCCCGTCTTGAAAGTGGTGGGTTTGGTTCGGTTCTTATCCAGAATCAAGCGCCTCTTTCTTCCATTCTCCAGGGAAGTGAAATAAAATATAAAATATATTTACTTAATTTCATTTTCTTTCTAAAAGTGTCATATTTTTACACGGAGCAATTATTTATTTATGATTCTTCGTGTGTATTCATGACACGAATGATACAGCTGACGTTTATAAAACTTATATTTAACACGATTCAATTCTTTTCGTCCATTCACCAGAAAATATTATGATATGTCACTTTTGGGGTTATTTTATTCGAAAAAGATATAAGAGGAGAAGATGAAAAATATCAAGCAAATCAAGTCAAGTGGAATAAAAGTTTGTATCAATCTGTTTATGAAAACGTCAAGTTGCAAGTATTTTTAAGTCATTGCTCATATCAAATATTTAAATGGAGAAGATATTTTTGGTTAAAGTATATCTTATATATCACTATTTGTATGTCAAATATGAGCCACTTTAAAATTTAACAAACAAAATTCGCTCTCCAACTGAATATTATGCAAATCCAAATATACAGATATTTTTCGTTTTGCATACTTATTAAAAAATATATATATTGCGATCGCTAAGTAAATTTATAAGTTGGGAAATTTATTTTTTTAAATTAAAATATAAATTTTATGTCATTTTCGATAAGTTTTTTCCAGTAATATTAACTTTTTTATAATAAAAAAACGTCAAATTAGAGGTAGAAATATTTTAAAGAAAGACGTGGGTTCGGTTTCTATCCAGAAACCAAACACTTATTTCTGTGTTTATTTTTCATTACAATTTACTTATTTATTAAGAAAATTGTCTGAATTATTATTTAATTTCTAACGTGTAACTTTTTACAAGTTTCTAATTGAATTACATCAATTCTCACGTCTCGACTTTTTTCAGTCGTAAAACAGAATTTAGATTAATAATTAAGTTATTTAAATTAGTTTTAAATAATATTTTAACGTATAAAAATTTTATAAAGCATAATATTAAATATATATATATATATAAAGGAAATTAGAT